TGAACACCCAGGTTTTCAAATGTTGTTTTTAGATCTATCTCCAATGTTCAAGGCAAACTAATTTATTTTGCTGAAATAAACTATTGTATAGTGATTTAAATCACTCAATTATTATTTGATTTAGAAATGAATTCCTTCATGTGGATGATACACACATTTCAAGTATGATAAATTTAAGTGTTTGTTTAGGTGTATAAAATCATTGAAATGAAAATTTGAAATACATCTTGATCAAAAAAAAAGAAATACATGTTGACCAAACCTAAAAATTAGTATTGACATGTCAATCTCTAATTATCTGCCAATATCAAGTATATGCATAGCTTTTTAATTGCAGACTCAGCTCGAGTAATCCACCAGCTCTCGGTAGTCAGCTGTATCCATCCAATGTCTACAGATCTGGGATGATTCCTTAACTCCAAGTTTTTGATTAGAAGCAATGAAGTAATTCTGTAATATATAGTTTGATTAAAATCAACTAACAACCTTGGGGAGATAAAAAGGATTATTACCCTTCCTTTGATTAAAGTATAGATAAATTTATTTTGTCATTTGTAACTAAAGACCTGTCCTTAATCTTGCTCAGTTCTGGCTTCCTCTGATGTCTTATTTATCCTACCTCCTTCTTATATCAGTTGTTAAATGTTCAGAAAAATTTCAAGCCAGTTGTTGGGCAGAGGCATCATTAAAAACTGAATTATATAGACTTTATTAGATAAATTAAAAAGTAATAAAGCATATAGATATTAAGTAAATATAAAGGACAATAAGTACTAAAAACTCATCACCGTCCAATTATTTGCTATCATATGTCTTTAGTATGTCTTTCGTATCTAGCATATAGTGACATGTTACCACGCATTTCTTTCCAGCTTTGCAATCAGTTCTGTCATACTGATAGCTTGAAATCACCATAGTAGCAGTATTTGCTCACCACCTTTATCATTACGCTACTGGTTCCCGACCCTTGGGCCTCCTAAGGAAAGCCTTTCTGCTTCCCAGAAACTGCATCTCCATGCAACTCTGCATCTTTCTTTCAGAGACAGTTGGTTGGCCTGGAAGTGAAAAACTAACAGAGGTAGAAATAGTCACATAGACCAAGCAAACGCTGGTCTTTAGATTTTGAATGGAGAGTCATAGGAGACCTGTGGATAAAAGCCAAGTCATGCTAATAGCAGTGGCGTAGAATAAACATCCTTGAACTCTTACTGTGTAGGTCCCTAAAGCTGACTTAGTCATACTTTCCAAGATCCCCTAGAACCACTTTTCTCTAGATTCTGTAAGACTTTATCCTTAAAATGTCTTTCATTTAAGCAAATGTGTTTAATTCCTTGAAAAAGAAAAACTGATGACTCCAACATAAAAACTACCAAATGTAGGCCAAATACTTAGTCTCAAGTCTTGGTTGCACAACCCATTGAAAATGCTTCAATCTAACAGCCTCTTGGTTTCATATTTTAGTAGTTTTTAAGCTTCACAACCATACAGAGGTACTTAAGGCTCTTCTATGAGTTGAAAACAAAGCGTTAGGTAGACAAAGCCTAGTGACCTCCATTTTTTAATGAGGGACACACTGCTATTAGCTATTTTGCGTTTTGGGTCTTCATGTGAGATTTTGATAATTTCCTCTAAAGCATTCCCTACCCCATCTCTTCAAAAAATACTTTAAAAAAATTTCTATGCTAATCTATCTCCATATTCTTTTCAATATTCTATAACTTTACAATGCAAATACAAAATATTCTTATGCATACTTCAAAAATATCTAAAATTTTTCTGTTCTTGCTATTATTTACATCATCTCTTACTGGGGTTTCAAAGAAACCACAGTAAAACTACAGTTCATCACAGACTCAGTCTGGTGGCTTCCTTATAGCAGATGTGCTCATCCACTTTTTTTCCTGTGAATTTTGAGCTTAGCCTGGAATTTTTGCTTATCCTGGTGTTCTGAGTAACCAATAGCAATCAACTGGAGCTGGCAAGAGATGAAACTGGCCTGCCATTCTGCTGAGCTTCCCCATGCATGGACACTGACTTACCTTATGCTATTCTTGATGTCTCTAATGGTTCCCTCTTTCTGCTGAGATGTCCATATGTTCTGAAGGTTGCCCTTCTCTTTGGTTAACTGCCCTTAAAGCAATTTTCCATCTAACACCTGACAGTCTGGGGTAGGGGCCAGAGACAAGACTATGTAATGTTGCACTAGGCCTCATGACTAGGCACCTACTGGGCCTGTCCATCTGGACATTTCACAGAAAAAGTACTACAAGTTAAGGAAGATAAAGCTCTAGGTTATTTGCTTCAAGTAGTAAGTTCCTTTTGGCCTCTCCTTAGTAAATCAGAAAAATAGTTAATAACCATCTTTTTGGAGTTTTCAGGTATAAAAAGACATTAATTAACTATTTGTTTAAAACTCTTAGGCTATATCTTAGGCCTTCAGTTTCCAATTTTTAACCATATTGCTCTTAGCATAACTCACTTCATTACATTTCTTCTCAATTGTATAGTTTGTAACCACACAAAGTCCTCTAGTAAACACACAAATATAAGAAATTAGAAATAAATATATTTTATTTTACATAAATGTCTTGTTGACATATTCTGAGGTACGTTTTGATAAGCATAGAAGCTTTAATCACTATCAGACATGAAAACAGGATATGACATTTGAGAAAGGGTTCATGTGTTTTTAGTTAGGAGGCTTTGCTAAGAGCAACTGTGAGATGCTAGTCTTTGTTTCCAAATATACAAGATTTAAAAAAAATCCATACCACTAAATGGTAGAGAAAGACAAGAGTAGTTTGGAAAACCTAAACAGAACTGAGCAGTGAAGCACCATCAGCAAAGGCTCTGAAGTTATGTGAAAGACTGGATAGATAAAATGGTCAATGTAAGAGTATTACTAGTCTTGAAGTTACATAGTTAAATGCATACAACTGACGGCTTAGTTATCGTCATGGTGGGAGATATGAAAACAAAAAGGAAGGTGTGACCAGGGATCTTTGACAGTGGGTTATGGTCAATGTCCTCACCATAGAATGAAAAGAACTAAGCTTTAAAGCTCTAGTCAAACAAGGTTCTGCCAAATAATATTTGATAGTCTAAGTCCTAAATCAAAATCACAAATCTTGTTCTCGAATTAACTTTTCTTGATGACCAAATTCAGTCTCTAATCTTTCCCTGCCAAACCTTTATTTCGTTGTACCCTCCCAATTTGACTTGATTGCATTTCCAGATTGCTGCTTGGTTTATCAATTTCCTTACGGTCTGATTTGCCTTATCTTGACCTCCATTTCCTTTTCTCCTCAGCCCACAAGAATAATAATTTTCCTTCATGCTAATTAACATTTTGAGGTCCTGTTATGTGCCAGGAGCTGGACTGGGCTAAATAAATGGTTCGGCTTCACATTGCTTAGATACAATTTAGTTCTGAGTAAGGCAAAGGACAGGATGCAAATTGTCCATGGGAGTGGAACTGGTAAAAACAGCCGAGATTCTCAGTGCCTTAAGTAACAAACCACCCAAAATATAACAAACAAAAGAATAAAGAGGACACAATAAGCTTATCAATTATTTATACATGCTCTTTCCATAGACATAGACAGATGCAAAATAACAAATGCTTTTGAAAAATTAAAATTTTCAGAATTCATAGAAAGTAGGAGTTAAAGGAAACATTGATAAAGCAAGAAAGGAGCTACCACAGAGTCTACCTTTATGGAACCTAAAACAGATGTTCAGTGTCTGTGTTATAGAATATGCCACTTTTTATCACTTTTAGAGCTTTCAGGAAAAATTCATTGACGTGTTTTTAAACAAGATGTACTGTGGTATACCTGATGGGTGACTTATAGACAAAAGGTTAGTGAAGAATAGAAACAGCAGGATCCTGTTCAGAAAATTTCATTTTGATTGCCTCTGAAAGCACTTGGTTTTTCTAAGAATTGATGCAATTAATTGATCTTATTCCCTTGACACTGTAGGCCAATTGTAAACCCATCAGGAGACTTGGTTATTTACGCCCTTACTTTTAAAATACTAAAACTAACTAATTCCATAGTATGAAAACTAAAGCTAGCAATAACCAAAAGGGGAAAGCAGTTGGAAACTGATAAGAATGTCATATAAAATTGTTCAATGTAGCAAACAAAAAGCAATCGCAAAAACAAAAAGGACATAACATGCTTATCAATCCTTATATTTATACCAGCACCCTCCCCCAAAATTGAGAGTATGTTTCGAGATTTTGCGTTTATTCTTAATATTTAAACTGTTTTGTCTCACAAACTTAAGGTAGTTCTGATTTGCTGTGTTGCGTAATCACACATCTGCTAAAGAAATCCCAGCCCTCTGGGAGGCCGAGCCAGGAAGATGGCAAGTAGAATCTCAGTCTGGGCAATTTATGAACTTCGTGAGATCCTATGTTAAAAGGACAAAAAAGGGGGGATGGGGGATGGGGATGCAGCTTAATGTGAAGGTTCTTGGTTTAATTCCCCGGTACCATCCCCACATGCGGTCCCCCAGCAGCTTTTTAACGGTAACTAAAAATCCAACATTGTTTTCCTTTATCAAAAGTCCCAAGGCTACCACTCTGCAGTCAGAACATCCTGTGACTTAAAAATTGCAACCTTTGTGACTTTAACCGAAGATCTGGGCCTCATTTTTACCGTCCACGTAAACATACGACTATAAATGATTCACTACGGTCAGGCGACGCGAGCGCCCGGAGGCGGCGGAGGGGCAGCCGCGAGCCCCCGGTCCGCTAACCCCGGAGGGCCTTGCGGCGCCGGCTCCTCGCACGCCCGGTGCCAGCGTGGTTATTTACGACCGTGCGGTCGGGCTGGGGAAGCGGAGTCAAGGGCTGCCCGGACGCGCCGGAGGAGTTCGGGTCCCCGCGTCCCCGCAGGCCGCCCCCGCCCGCCCCGTCCGCCCGCCCGCCCGCCCGCGCGGTCGCGCCCCGGCTGCGGCGAGGCTCCCGCACCGTCCGACTTCTCGCGAGTTTTCGCCCGCTCCCCGCGCCCCCGCCCCCGCGCCGCTGCCCGCGGCTCCGCTATGGCTGCGTTGCGGAGGCTGCTGCGGCCGCCGCCCCGGGTGCCGCCCGTGCTGTGCCCGCACCAGCCCTTCCTCGGGCCGTGGGGGCGGCCTTCAGAGACCGCCCCGCCCGGCCGCTGCTTCTCCAGCCGCGAGGACGAGGAAGGGGTGGTGGCCGAGGCGGCGCGGTGGCGGCGGCGGCGGCGCTGGGGGGAGCTGAGCATCGCGGCGGCGGCCGGCGGGGGTCTGGTCGGCCTCGTGTGCTACCAGCTGTACGGCGACCCCAGGCCCGAGCCCACCCGCGCGCCGCTGCCCGGCCGCCCCTCCGGGAGCGCGGCCGCAGAGCCCGGGGACCCGCCGCACGGCCGGGGGCTGCTGCCCATCCCGGTGGCCGCTGCCAAGGAGACGGTAAGAGCGGCCGAGGCGAGGCCGTAGGCGGCCCACCTGCGCGGGAGGCCGGGCACCGGGCGGGCGCGGGACGTGGACCCTCGTGCAGGCCTCGTGAGCGCCGAGGCCCTCGGTGCCTCGTCTCGGCAGGACAGCCCACAGCCTGGCACCTGGGTGTGGGGAGGGCGACGGTGGTGCTGTGCTTGGTGCACCTGTACCTCAAGGGTCGCTGTGGCCTCTCCTGTCAGCTTCCAACTCCGGAAGGCGGGGGCCCAGAGACGAAGGGCTAGAAGAGCAGGAAGTGGTGGGCTGCCTGTGCCCCAGAAAGGAACTTCCAGTAGGGCCAGGGCAAGGACAAGGACAAGTGATCGGGTAGTTTGGAAGCAGTGGTCTGATGTCGCAGAAGTTACTAATGTATGGAAATCCCAAAGCAAGAAATGCTAAAGCTGTAAGTCAAAAGGAAAGATACTTCCAGATTGGAAAAGACAAATCTATTTTTTAAAAAAGAGTATATCCACTTATTAAGACCAAAATTCTTTAATAACGTATAGTAAATCTCAAAACGGATAGGACTGTTAAGTACAGGAAACTATGAGTGAACATCCCATGAACTGTTCAAGGGTTATTATGTATGTGTGAGGTAAGGATGAGAGTAAGGCCAGAGTGAGTCAAAGGGCATCTTTTTGTCACATTCTAAGTTTTCCTTGCAAGATTAAAAGAATATAAATAGCTTAGATAATTGTTTTTAAAGAAGCAGTTATGCTGCTTTTAACTTCAATGGAATTGTATATCCTTTATGTTTAGCATGAACACACAGTAGCCATCTAAGTGCATCATTTCTGGTCCAGGTTATTGATGCATTTAAATTAGAGAATCTACTTTATGGACTTTCCAGCAATAAATCATAGGCACATAACCTTTATATACAATGATTACTTAAAATACTACTGAATACTTTCACCCTCTCTCTATCCCCCCACACATTATTTTGCGGATTAGGAAATACTGTTAAACTTGTATTCTGATTGACCAAGTCAGAACTTTTGACAGTAGTTGATCTGGGAACAGGCTAACAAGGTAGGGAACATCCAAATAATTTTGTTTTTCTTTTTTAAATTAGTTTTTCTTAATTTGAGAGATAGTATCATGCAGTTTTTGTTTTGTTTTGTTTTGTTTTTGTCTTTTTGAGACAGGGTCTTGCTGTGCAGTTCAGGCTGGTCTTGAGCTCACTTTGTAGTGCAGGCTGGTGTCGAACTTGTAAAGATCCTTTTACCTCAGGCTCCCAAGTGCTAGTATCACGCAGTTTTAAAACATACTCAGAAAATTAGAAGTATGTGATTCCACTCCCTAAGATGTAAACATATTCTGCAAACATATAAGAATTTTTTTTAAAGATAGAATGCTGGTTCCACTACTTACTAGTGTCATTTTTGACAAATAGACTCTCAATACTTGTTTCCTCATTTGTAGAAGAAGTAGTCTTATGGACCATTGTGAAAACTAAAATGAGTGTAGTATATTGAAAGCAGAACAATACACCTGGCATGTAATAAACATACCATGAATTTGTTTATTTATTGTCTAGCTACATTTTTACTGCGTACAATGTATGAAAATTTCTGTACCTGGTTGTAAAAGTTAAGTATAATATTAAAGTTTTGTGCCTTACCCTTCTCAATTCTTCTGTATTACATTTTCATTGTAATACAGAAGAATACTTGCCTTTTATTTATGTAAATTTTTTCTATCTTAAAGCTTACATAATCTTTTTATTCTCGATGTTTGAAATTTTTACAATAAAGACCTTTTTTTTCATTGATTGTGCTAAGCACCTAAGGGTCCGTTCAATATGGAAACTCATGTCTAAAAGTGTTAAGTTTTCTTGCACTATTTCTTTGATATTTTTTTCTCTTCTCTTTTTCTGGTATTGCTGTTAGTCTGAATTTAAAACTCTTTTAATTCCAGTGCTAATGTTTTTTTGTACTCCAGTTTTAGTGTTTAGAAAGATATACTTGAGGTTATCTTCTAATAGCCTACTGAACTATTTCAGCTATCCTAGTGTTTTAATTTAAAGAACTATTTCATATTCTCTTGATTTTCATGTTATAAACATTCTGTTTTGTCTTGTGGTTGTTATAATTTCTCTCTGTTATAAGATTCAAATTAATAGTTTTATTTTGCTTTCTCTTTCATGGATTGCTTTGTACCTTCTAGGTTCTTTTTCCTGTTTGATTTTCCTAAGGTTTCACTTTCATTTTGGAAGTTTCCCTCTGTCATTATTACTCAAATATTATTGAGTAACCACCCAAAACCACCCAAAAAGTCTCTGTAAATGAATATGGCTTTTCTTTGGCTCTCCCTTTCTCTTCTTCTCTCCTATCTTTCCTTTTGCTAGACATGCTTTCTTTGTGTAGTCCGGGTCATCCTTGAACTCAGTATGTAGCCCTGCTGGCCTTAAACTTGAGATTGTCCTCATTCTCTTGAGTGCTGGGATTACAGGTGTGTGCCATGTGCCAGAGTGAATATGGCTTTTCATCTGGTGTTTCAGACTTTTCATTAGAACAACATCCAGATGTCAGAATTTTCTAGCACTTTTTTTTATATTACTGAGCTTTTCCAAAGAATAAGAGGGGTGAGAGAAGCAATAACTGGGATGCAGTCACATACTACATATGTGTAAGGGCATGTGCGTTGGAGGAATATCTTATGGTATCCTTGTTATTTTCAAATCATCTGTTCGCAATATCACCATGTACACTGTCTCTGTAGGTCTCTTTGTTTCCAAAACCATATCGTTTTCTTGAGTTTTATAGCTTATTTCATTTGTCTCAGTGCCCACATCATAACTTTGCACATTTAAGTCAGTTAATACTCTTCCATCTTCACTTTTACAAAAATGTGGCAAATTATCTTAATTGTTTTAGTCTCCTTTTCTCTTTCCTATTCCTGTGTATTTATATCTTTCTTTAAATCCTTTACTGTGACTTTGGTGTGTTTGGGGAAGAAACAGTTGAAAGAGACAGGCTTAATCTTCCACATTTCAAAAATATTATTTTAAACCTTTGCTGCTGCTTTATAGCATTTATTTTTCTGTAGTATACAAGGGGTTATGACCACGTATGATGAGTGTTTAATAAAAATATTTATTAATTGAAGGATACGTTACCATTAATCTCCTTTAATACAATCCCCCTGGCTGTGAACACATCCCATTGTTCTTGCCACTTTCTGAAGCAGTTCTGGAAGTCCTCTTTCATGAGTGTCCTTCAAAAAGAAATAAATGTTGCCATGTGTCCTCATTCACCTTATTCATGGGATCTGATACTGTGCAACTTCTGGCTCTTCCACAAACACAAAATGACCATAAAAGGGAAACTTTCTGAATCGAAGGACATTGAGAGAGCCACAGCAGTACAACTGAACACACTTAAAAGAGATTTCCAGAACAGCTTCAGAGAGTGGCACAATGACGGGATAAGTGTGTTTAAAGGGAGGGGGAGTATTTTGAGGGAGACTAATGGGAATATGTCTTTTACTGTAATACATTTTTTAAAAACAACCTTCATACTTTTCTATCACATCTTCTGAATGATCCTTTTCATGTTTCAGATGATAGCTAAGAACTTTTGATTTCTGTAGCTTTTTTTAAAAAGCATCATATTATTCAGAGCATAAGCCTGACATAAATATTAACTTACCTTTGTTACAGGAATACATTAATTGATGGGAATGAACAGCAGTAGCCTATAGAATCACAGTTGTATTACCATAGCATTGTTTTAAAGACATTGCTTCTAAACTTTCAACAGAAGGCCTTCACTGATTCTATTTATTAAATACCCTTAGCTCATCCTATGCTTATATATAATGAGATGGTTTTTTGGTTAAATATCTGTTATTTCTTTGTATTGTGTGCTTGTCTTAGTTATTAAAGGAGCAACACTGTGTTGGTCTTGGTCACCTTCATATCTTTGTTTTCTGGAATTGAAGCTGAGCTCTGATAGACACAATTATTTGTTGAATTAAATCAGGCCAGTTAAATATTTGTGTGGGGCATACACTTTACAAAGCAAAGTCACATAATTAATAGTTTAATAGTTTGTTCAACTAAAATATTTATAGCATTAGAATTAGGAAGATTTCACTCAAGGTCAAAATTACTAGTCTTTGGGTAAACAAATCATGTGACATTGTGTTTATTTTAATTGTGCAAGTTTGGTTTGCCAGACCTTCTTAATAAACCATGGCTTTGAGATGAATTAATATTATAAAAAGATACTGCCAAGGTTCTTCTTAGAACTTTAAGGCTTTAGTCTTGAAGCACTGTTTTTATTAGTGAATAATTTTTTGCTCTAGGCCTGTCCTTTTTTCAATCTCAGAATAAAATAATGGATTGTTTAACACACTTTAATAATCTGACATTTACAGACATTATACAACAAGTAATTTATGTTTTTTAAATTCTAAAACAGTTTCAAGCAACTTAGTTTTACTCCAGAGTGTAAAAAAATTAGAACAATATATTCCTATAACAGTTGTATATTCCTATAACAGTTGCCAATAATCATACAATTTAGAATTTCATTTTATAGTTTTTTTCAACCTATTTTCAAGGCATTATAACTTGAGATGCAAGGTTATGGAGGATTTTTTTCTCCAGATTATTAAGGTTTTCAGCTGTATAAATATCAAAAAATCTTCATTTTTTAATAGAGGGAATCACACAGATATGAAATTGAAAATGAGTTAATTCTGTATAGAATTACTTTATTATATAGTGAAATAAACCAGGTGATTTACTCTTGGTCTCCTAAATCATGCTGTGACAAATAAGCCCACCCATTCTACCTGCATCCTTCCAATAGCCTGACCACGTAATAGATTCACATGTAACAATTTGAGTGTACATTTTCCCCCTGAATAAACCACAGAGTAAAATTTGGTTGAATTTGTGAAAAATTTTTATTTTGTGTTATATCAAACCTAGAATTGTGGAAAGGAATTATACATTTTTTCTGGGT